AGCTTTCTTCACCACATTTGCTTATTCACCTGCTTTGTCTTCAGCGATTGTGTCGGGAAGGTGAGTATCATAGAATGCCAGTTTAGTAGAACAAAGTATTCTTGCCTTGAGGGAGTACTTGAGTGGAGGCCCAATGTCCATCTGCTACCTTAATACTAAAGCTATAAATATATGCACATAGATCTATTTCCCCATCCTTATATTTAAATATATTTACATATGTACATGCCTTTATCTAAACCTCTATGAATTCCCTTTGCCTCCTAGCTCTTTCCTCTATTTCCTTTGAGTTTCCTCTTGTCCCACTGTCATGTTCAGTCTTCATTTGGGAAAGACCCATATTCTTAAGTGGAGTCATATTCATAAGCATTCGCTGGGAAAGGCGTCCTGTGGTGTAGTGGGTTATGTGTCACCAGTGGCTCTGAGGGAGAAAGAGGAGGTTTTCTGCCCCAGTAAAGACTTGCAGCCCCAGAACCCCACAGCAGCAGTTCCACTCTGTCCTGCAGGATCGTTACGAGTAGGAAGTGACTGCACCTCACACGTGCAGAATAAAACTGTGTTCCATCAGGGTTTCAAAGCTGTGACCTTTTGGAAACAGATGGCTGCGATTGTTTGCCCCCAGCCCCACCCCCAGGGAGTCCCTGGATGGGTTAGAAGCATCAAAATTTGATTAAGTCGTCTTGCATTTAATTGTATTGCAATCGACTCGGTGGCAGTAAGTTTGAGGTTTCCTTGAGTTTTGAGTCATCATTCAGGAACTCCTTGAAGACGTTTTACGAGAAGCGTTCCCACCTCCCTTCCATCAATCATCACTCTTGATGGGACTTGTAATCCACTTACCCCCTTCTTTCACCCATGTCTCCTTGATCTTTCTTCCTCCCTCTTCCAAAATCCCTCCCTGCCTCCTCCCTGCCTCCGTCATTCATTTTACTTTTCTTCCTCCTTCATCCCTCCCTTCTTCCTCCTTTGTAGCTTCGTCCCTCCCTTCTCTCTGAACCTAGGGCAACAGGGTTGAGTTATTCATAGTTCTCCTGCCTAGCAGATTATTCTCATTTGCACAATGTTCCCTTTTGTTTTATTACTAATTAATTAATCCCCTTTTATCTCCCACCTCTCCAGCTCCCTCTCCGGCTCCCCGCCTGGCAGCGTTTCTAATGTATCTAGTTCATATCCCTCTCTTCATACACATTCCTATAAATGGAGAGACATGCATTTTTCAAAACAACCCAAATAAATTCTACTATTGTGTAGGTATTTATGAAACATGGCCATTTACTGAGGAGATTGTAGGCAGATGGGGAAGAGCATGTACATTGCACACAACACACCAACTGGAAACGGACATTCCCTTCTTTTCTTCTCTCAAAGGATCCTGGAGGGTGCTGTGGGTGATAACCATAAGGTTGGTGGTTTGAACCCACTGTCCATTCCACAGGAGAAAGAGGAGGCAGTCTACTCCTGTAAAGATTCATAGTCATGGACACTCGTCTACATAGAACGGATTCACTGTCAGTGGTTCAGCTTGTGGTTGTCTATTCTTTTCCCTCAAGTTCTCACCTGCTGCAAAAAACCCAGCTGGTTGTCTTTCAGCTGATCTTGACTCATGGCCACCTGGGTGTTTTAGAGTAGAGCTGTGCTCCCTGGGCCTTTGAATGGCTGTGACCCCTTGGAAGCAGATTGCCAGGCCTTACTTCTGTGTTGCCTCTGGGTGGTTTTGAAGTGTGCACCTTTCAGTTGGGTGTCTCCCTGTCCTTCTACACAGAGCCTAGCCTCCATTCTTACTAATACGAGGCGAGGGCTGGAGAACCTGTTATCTAAATATGGGCCGGGGACTTCTCATGTACAGACAAGTTTGGGAGGCGTGGATACAAGGTGTAGTCTCAGTTTCCAAGTTAGGATACGGGGCCCTATTTGCTCCAGTTAAAAGCCTACCCTTTGAATTACAACTGGCCGAGTTGACATCGCAGCTCAGTACTTCCAAGCTTTGTGACTCAGGACAATCATTTCACCACTGACCTTGTGGTTAGAAGCCCAACACCTCACCCACCAGGGCTCCCTCAGGGGCAGTTCTACTCTGTCTCATGGGATGGCTGTGGATACAGTATCTTTGGCCTTCATTGAAGTGATGAGCTCATGCAGGGGCCAACATGTCTTTTTTTATTTTCTGTGAACAGCCAGATCTTTAAGAATTTGGGGCATTGCAGGCTAGAGTTTCTGTCACACAAAGCCCCGTCCCCCCTAACCCCCCATACAGCCTTGAAAGCCTTAAAACCATTCTTACTTAGCTCATCGTTGCATGGAGAAAGGCCCTAGGCTGGCCCCTGTGCTCTGGACTGGATCAAATCAGGCATGAAGCATCCCAGCATGCACACCGGGGTGGAAGGTGCTCCACACAGCTCCTGTCCTGAGGTTAGCAGTTTTACCTCCCCACCTCCACCCCTGACTCTGCCCCTTGAGTTTTATACCCCAGCCCTGGTTAGGGCCATGCTCTGTCACCTGGGCTCAGACTCGGGTGCTCTCCCAGCCTCACCCTGCTGCCATCTCCCTCCCCCACTAGGGTCAGCAGGGCAGATGCCACATTCACACACTGTCAGCACAGGCTGGCAGTCCTCAGCTGGCCGGTTCTCAGCTGGGCTCCCGGCTCACCAGGGCACACTTCCACTGGGCTCCTCTGGCTCCCAGGAAAGTGAGCAGAAGCCTGCTGGGGTGACTCACGACTCAGAGGACACACAGATTGGCTCTCGGCAGGCCCACAGGCTCTGCCAAGCCAGCTGAGGGTGGCACGGTGGAAGTGGACGGGCCACTGCTCACACTGTCCTCTTCTTGCTGGATGGGGCGACCTGAGGACATCTCTTGGCCTCAAGCTTCCGGCACATGCTGGGAAATGATCCAGGGGACAGTTAGGTCCCCTTAAGGGCCTTCAGTCATGGAGAGGGGGGGCTGTCCTGCCCCTGGTCTTTGCGTGGAGGCACCCTGCCTTGAAGACAAAGTCCTTTAGTGTCTATACAACAGTTCAGTTCCTCGTCGCCTCTCAGCATCACTCCAACCCCCTTGTGAGTCCTTCTTCCAAGCGGTTTGTTAAACACTGCAATTGAGATCCCAACCTCCTTTATCTTCACTTTGAGGGTAAAGTTCAGCCTTGGAGCCCTGTGAGAAGCAGCCCCGGGGCTCAGTGGTTATGCGTTGGGCAGCTGGCTGCAAGGTTGGCAGTTTGAAACCATCAGTCACCCTACGGGAGACAGCTCCAGGAGAGATTTACGGTCTTGGGAGCCCACAGGGGCAGTTCTACCCTGGTATATAGATAGGGTCACTGTGAATTGGAGGGTGACCCCGATGGCACTGAGTGTGGTTTTTGAGGAACCCCATGATGTAGCCATCCCTCTCTCTCCAGCCTCGTTTCCCTCTGGTCAGCACCCCTGACTCACACGCTGACTTACGTGTGACATTGTCTTCCTGACACATTGCTTCCACAGTGCCACACCTCCACACCCTCTTTTCTCAGACTTAGAAGACGTGGGTTGCTTTTTGTTGTTACTTGCCGCTCAGGAGTGACTTCCTCCATCGTGTCTTCTCTGGTTTCCCTAGCTGAGTCCTCTCTTATGTCCTCCGACTCCCTCTTACACGAATCTAATCACACTGTTACAGAGCTCCTGGGGGAAGCGTTGGTTCTTTGAACCCACCATAAGTCCTCAGAGGAAAGGCTTAGGGATTGGTGTGGGAAAGGGCATGGCCCTTGAGACACCCATGGGGTGCCATTCTCCTCAGGCAGAGTCAGCCCAAGGCCAAGGAGCAAGGAGAGCAATCACATTGTTACTGCAGTCTTGATTCTTGGGCGTAGACAATGTGTTTTAAGAGCTGGGGTTTGAATTCCAGCTCAATCGGTTCCTGTCTGCGGGATATCAGCTCAATTCCTTAACCTCTCTGAGCTTCAATTTCCTTACCAGTAAAACCAAAAACCAAACTCGTGGCACTGAGCAGATTCTGAGTCATAGAAACCCTATAGGGCAGGGGAGAACTGCTCCTTTGGAGCGCTGTAACTCTTTATAGGAGTAGAAAGCCCGTCTTTCTCCCTCAGAGAGACTGGTGGTTTCGAACTGCAGACCTTGCAGATCGCAGCCCAGTCAGTCACCACTGTGTCGCAGGGCTCCCAATTCTTGACAGGATATGGCAAATCAGACCCTTTCCTTTCAAATATCTTCCAAGTTAGTCTGGTGGCTTTTGGTTCCTTGACCAAAGTCCTTTCATTTTGGGCAGACC